CACACACACACACACACACACACACACGTACACACACACACAAAAATCTCACAGCCTCTCCCCTTTCCACCTGTTCCATCCCACCCTCTATCATTCTCCTTTCTTCTTTTCTTTTCCACATTTCCACTTTTTTCCTGACCATCCTACCCACCAGATTACCTGCTTAGCCAAAGCATATGCCCAGGTTCACTTTGATAAATATTATAAAACATTCATGGAAAAAGGCCAGGTGTGTATACATGAGCAAAAATCTAAATCAAAGGGAGAAACACAGTTTGCTTATCAAAGTTAAAAAAGACTTCAATGAGTATTATACAAAACAGTAATTACAATAATGATTCCAAGTTGGAGCAACACAGGCGACATATGTACTGCCTCACCCATCCGACCGAACAGATACCACGTTTTCTCTATCAATATATTGACATACTAATAACGACAATCTCCCCAATTCCAACCCCAAAATCTCAACGTTTATAGTTCAACAACAACAACAACAACAACAACAACAACAACAACAACAACAACAACAGCAACAACAACAATAACAACAGCAACAACAACACCACCACCAACAATAACAACACTACCACATCCACCACCAACAACAAAAACAATCAGGAAAAAAACAAAACACAGTGGGAGAAACACGTTGTTATTTTCACTGAATGCCATAAAATATTATAACACGTCAACAATACAATGAACAAAGAAAAGTCATTGAGTTTTTCTACCACGTCCCTGACTTAACTCTTTGAGAACGCATCTTCGACAACGTAAGCAAACAAACTGCTTTAAAGGCACTTAAAAAAAAGAGCCAAACTTCGTTAATCATGTAGATTTTTCCTATTTGTTTTCTTTATCTGAGACTTCAAAAGATCGGTAACATCATGCTTGTAAACAACTAAACAAATGTGTATCTCTGATTTGAGTGTGGTCGTGCCGAAACGTTTACTTTGGTCTGCTGCTGGTCGGACAGATGTGTCCGTTTCGTCCTCAAAGAGCAGTGTTGTTGCAAGGACGACAACCCATTATTTATTTTAGAAGTTCAAGGAAGACTCGGTGATCTCCCCTCACAGACACAATTCCAGCAAGTCGTGACGACTTCATTGATTCTCGATTGTGTGGTTTGCGCACAGTGAATAAAATCTTTACAGTCACTCAGTCACGCCAGATTCTTAACGAAAGCGGTGAAAATCAGTAACGTCCAGTCTTCTGCTCATAAGACTTTGAAAATTACATACAGTCGAACAGTTCGTCACTCCC